CTCATAAGTTGAATGAAATTGAAGGTAGTAGAACGAGAGGAGTTTGAGGTAGAACTTGCCTTATATTACTTGCACAAATTACTTCATCTTTTGGTGTAGTGTTTGTGTACCATAAAATAACCATATTTTCTTCTTTTTAAATCAAACCAAATAGCATTTGAGGTAAAGTTGCAATGACTTCAGAGGAGGTTAGTCCAGTTACTGCATGGCATGTAACTTCTTTCTAGTTTTGACTTTTGAGAGACAGTAGTTCTCTTGGTCTTTATTAAGTAAATTACTGGATGAAGTGATTTCCATTCCTTGCTTGTGGGATTTTTTGGCAGACAATATAACGCTAACAAACAGTTTTACTCACTTCACCTTTCAACCAGGAACAACTTGTGTTTTCTTATTCTTTAAGAGGTTGGTGTATGGCTTTCGTTCATTTATTCCTTAATCTTTAGGTGACCTAGTTTCTTCCTGAAGTAAAATAAATTTAAATACCCTTAATAAAGACACTGATATTTTAAACAAAGCAGTCTAGTATTGGTGTCTTGGGTTTTTGAAAACTCTGGTTTCTTGGGTCTGTTTATGGGCCGGTCACTGGTATCAGGTGAAAGTGAGTATTTCAGGAAACAACTACTTGTTTTTATTTTATTTTTGAACTTACAGAAATTTCCCATTGTAGGCAAATTAAAGCCTTCTCACAGGACAGCTTTGCCTCCCTTTGTTATTCCCCATTTATCCTTCAGCCACAGTGTGCAGATCATAGTTGTTCCGCTGGTAAAGTCAAAACAGGGTTGCAGAACTGTGCGTGTTGTATAATGGGACTCAGATGGAGGCTTCATACTTGTTCCTTCTGTTTTCTGAAAACTTTGGAGTTTAACAACAATCATTTCAATATTCTCTACTTTTCTTTCAGGAAGTGAGCTTGATTAAAGCTAAATTAATGACGGCAGGGTGCATTGTGCAAATGAAACCTGACCACTTGAGAGAAGTCATGTTTTAAATGGAATGGTTGCAATTTTTTTTTCCCAGTTAGCCAACTCCAGTTTCTCCCCAAGTATTCCTGGTGAAGAATTAGTGCCTCTAAAGTCCTAGGAGGCAGATTTGAGAAAGCATTAAAATAATTCCTTTTGGTATTTCAAGAGCCCCCCCCTGCTATCCTGAAGAGAAAAAAAAAAGTACAGCAAGATATTTAGCTGTAAAAATAAAAATAGGCTACCTTTGTACATGGGCTGGGCTTTTGGGTCTTTGAGTGCTTCTATAGAATTGGTTGATTTGGCTTTTGATTATTTTATAAAAAGGAAGAAATGAATGCTGGTTGTTTTCATGAACCAATGACTGGCATAAATTTAGTCGTCTTGTGTGGAACAAGTTATTGTTAGGATGGGGAAGGATGGGTGACCCAAATTGTATCAGTAAGGTGCAAGTGCTCAAACAGTTTGAGATGCCAAGTCAGTTCTAATTGAACTCTCAAAAAAATGAAATTCCTATTTAATTATAGTGTAACAAACAGGCTTAGGGACTGTATTATGCTACACAAATAGAGGGGGGAAAAAACCTTCTGTAACTTTTGAAATGAGTGGGGAATCTTTCCTAAGTGTCAGCCATGTCCCACGTTGTCTGCCACTCTTAGCCTTGGATGTGTTGTCAATTTTAAAAGAGGAAAAATATAATAAAACGCTTTTATTAGTGTAAGAGCGATTGATACTTGGTATTATGGCTAGAAATTTGTTTTAAGCACAATATTTTGGAACAGTTTCAGCACTTCTATGGGCTTTTACTTAATATGCCTATCAAAATTTTCTTGCTGTTTCTTTCAGTCTTGCAAAGAGATATATTTGGAAAAGCTTTTTTTTATATGTTGGAAATAACATTCACTTTACTGTTAAATAATTAATTATTCCTCTTCCCCCATATTCCTTGTGGTATTTTGTGTTGTTGCTAATTTGCGTAGTCCTAAAATGCTTCACAGCAGATGGAAAATCATTGCAACACGAAATGAAAAATTATGCAAAGTATAAAAATATCTGTAAATATATTTTTAAGTTGTTGCAAAAGATTGTGCTTAAGTCCTTGAAAGGAGTAAAGATTTTTCCAAATGGAGGGTGTCTTAAAGACTTGCACTTGGAAAATGTAGATAAGGGAGTGAAAGTAACTCTAAAAGATCATAAAATACAGCTGAGAGCGCAATAAGATAGAAGCTTTCATAGCATTTGAACATATTAGTTTTTAAAGGTTAAAATTTAAAATCAGATTCAGAGGATATCTGTTTTAATTAAAAATGAGATGAGAATAATGAATATCGAAATGTTAAACCAAGAACAACTAGGACAAAAAGGGGGGTGTGTGCGTGTGTGTCCTGCCCTTGTGCTGGAAGTTTAAAAATTATTTTCTGTTTTTGCTAGCAGAAGGTAAACCAAACTCAAGCAAAACATTAGCAAAGGATTTTGACCTGGATTTTGGCATATGTGAGCCTAAACCAGAGTATAGTAAACAAGACTTCAGTATTCTAATATATGTAGCATTAAAAAAATAGGTGTATGTTTGAACATATGTTTCAGTACTGGCGGGTGATATGAGAGATTTAAGTGACAGAAAATTAAGGAGGGAGGAGGATGAATACTGAAAGCCATGAGGTAGGCTGTGGGAACTGTAAGAACCCAAAAGGACATTGAAAACCAGAGTCTTGCAGTACCTTGATATCTGAATCTTATACACAATGTTAATTCTTTTTACACTGAAATGTAAAGTTCTTGGGTCAGTGATAAGTAAACTGGGCAGTCCGAAATCACACATTAAGAAAAGTATGTCAGAGTCTGCTGAGCAGTTCTTCCTTTGTAAACTGAGCAGAAATCAAAGCCAGTGAAACCAAACTGAAAAACTAACAAATCTGAAACCAGTTAACTTCAGATTTAACAGTGGTAAGATACTTAGGGCTTATTCACCATACCACTGTGAAATAAGCTGATAGGTTATTGAATTGTTGTGTTTGGAAGAAATGACTTTAGAAATAATACACTGAAATGCTAAGATCAGGCAGCCTCAACAAAATGTTTTTAGAATTGAATTATCCAGTAGCTGTCAGGTTCTTAGAGAAAAGCATAAAATTAAAAAGAACAGAAAAAACATAGATGGAAAAAACAGAATGCTACATCCAAATAATTTTATAAGTTTATATGAGAGAAATATTGAAGGGATTGCTTTGGAAATATTCCTTATCTTTTAATTGCCCTGTCAGAGAAGATGATCTAGTTAATGGTTAAATTTTGTTTCCCATATTAAAATCCATGTTTGGGTCTTGTAAATGCTTCCATACACCATCTATTTATATTATCTTTTACTAAACTTCTGAGATAAATTATAAACTAAAAGAGCTGGTTTCAAATGAAAGGTTGCAGTAAATGTTGAATCTGATCATACACTGTCTTTTGAACATTTTTGGAAGCAAATCTTACATGTTTGAAGTCCAAATTAATCTTACACCTAGATTAGCATTACTGGGATGTGATAATGGATTAAGTACTGATCTTTTTTGCCCCCTATTTCATCAGCTGCTTTATTCTTCAGGAGTGGTAATTGCTTTGGAATGGAAATCTTCAAATAGTATTTCAGTTGATAAAGATTTGTGCAATATCCATGCAGATATTCTTTTGCATTAAAAAGGATTTTTCTACTATTTATTTTGACATGTTAAACAGTGTAAGAGATATCGGAATGGGAATCATAATTCCTTAAAGAACTCGTGTAATAGCTATATGAGTAGTCTTGTGGAAATATAAAATCATAACATGGAGATCAACTCATGAAAATTTTAAAGTAAAAATATGAGAATGAAGTAAGAAGTAGAACATTTATCATACAATACACCTAATGCCACAGGATTTACTATATTCAAAGTAGAACTAACATAAGGGGACAATGTACAGTATTGGCTTAACAAAAAATAAAGACTTTAATACTAACATTAGAAGAAAAGTGCTAACATTAATAATGTGAATAAGGTCTCCTATTTTTGATCCAGGTAAAAATTCATCTATACTATTTTGGTCTGGACGATTAAAGACATAGCTGCAAATTTGATGGAATTCCAACCTCAGAACAAATAGAAACAGAAGTCAGCTTTCAACATCAGATGAATTCACCAGAGCAGGCGAGTGTTAAGAAAGTTAATGAAGATAATGTAAGTAAGGCTTGTCATGGACTTGTAGCTGTGCATGTGGCTAGCTACTGCATCTGACCTGAGATGTGGCAGCTTTGTGTCCTGTCCTTACCTGATCACTCTCAGTAGTTTGACTACAGCCTGGTTTGCAGGCAGTTTGAAAATTAACTGAGAATTAAGATAATTTATGCTGTTCCTCAAAGTCAGTCTTGTAACAGGGGGAAAAACTTCATTGCAATTTGTAAGGGCAGCCAATATTGCCACTGGGATTACAGAAGTAACTCCTGGTTGCTGGAAAGAGATTAGAACTTCATGGACAGAAAAACATTGAATAAGAACGCTTGCTAAACACAATTTGAACTTTCAACAGACAAAAACATTTTAGAAGGCAAAAGCTGGACCACTTGCCAACCAGTGACATAGTTTTACAAGAATTTAATTTTTAGACAATGGATATTACCTTCTGATGTACAAAACATAGTAATGAGCTAAAGCTTAAAGAATAGCCAGATGGGACTCCCTTTGTCCCCCAGTGGTGGACAAAGTAGAACTTTCTCAAAAGTACAGAGAATTTTAATTTTTACAAGTAATACAGCTGCTAATGCATTAAAAACATGGCCAGCAGTCCGTGTTAGACGATCTGAAATAATCCTTTCCCAATTTATAAAGCTTGCATCTTCATCTCCAGAAACTGATCAGGAGACACCTGTCACTTTCCCTTTTATTTAAGGGTTCATAGTGGAGATTAATCAACTGGTATAACTCCAAAGTCCATATCAGTATGTGTAATACAGAATTTAAAAAACAAATCAAAATTAAATACTCTCACTGATTAACCTAAAGGTGCTAATTCTTGTTCAGTGGTTAAAGCCTTGTTGTTTAGAGATGGAAAAACCTGAAATAACAGCACATGATAGTTTCTGGTGGAATGGGAGTCAGGGGAGAAAACCTTTGGATTCTTGGTAGCTCTTTCTTCTCCTGGAAGAAATGTTGATCCGTAGTGTCGTCTTGAGCAGTTTGATTCTTACTCCTGGAGTGCATCCTTTTGTGAAAAGATGTGGTGATTTAGCTCTATCCATCCCAAACAATAAGTTTGTGGTTTAAGAAGTATTTCAGCTGAGGTTTCAGTGTATCAGCAGCAGGTAGATCCTTCTGTAGTCTTCACTTGCTGAGAATTGGGGCTGATAGTCTTGCAGCTAATCTCTCATAAGGTAATGTAGCACAGTATACTAACAGTGGAGAAAAAAGTCAAAAAGCTTGTATGTAACTAGAGAGGATCCACTGAAGATGAGCCACAAAACAAACAGAAAAGTGCCCCCACAGAAAATGGCAATGGCAGCCGTAAAATCAGATAGTAAAGTGATCCTACCATTAAGGCAAAAAAGCAAAAGACAATTAATCCCCCCCAGAGAATCAAACTAAACAGAAAACAAAAAGCAAACAGGCTTAGTGCAGAGAAACACAGGTATATAGCAGCAGCCATGTTGTCACTAAAAAAATCCTGTTCTTAAGCAGATTAGCTTATGCTAAGCTTTCACAGTTTGCCTGCTATATATATTGTAAGCAATTCTTGAATGCCTCCATAAATTGCACATCTAGAAAACGCATTCCAGAAACATGTGGCTTTTAAGCCTTTTGTTTTCCAGAGAAAGTAGTTAGTTGTAAAAGGTGTTATAAATAATACTGCAGTCTGTGCTGCATCAGTGCATTGGAACAAAATTTGCTCTTCTGTTTTTTTTTTTTGTTTTGTTTTTTTTTTTTTTTAAAGTTTGCATATGTACAAATGAAAATGTGTGAGCTTTCCATTTATCCCAAGGAAAAAAAAAATTTTGTGTGTGTGTATTCATAGAAATTGTGTGTCTTTATGCATATATATGAAATAATATATATATATATATATATACACACACTGTCCAATTGTATCTTTAGGACCAAGAGAATGTAGGCACTTCATAATCTGTATTGCTACTGTTTGAGAAGTGTGGTCCTCTGAAAATTAGAAACTTTTAATTTCTATTTCCAGCACATTTACATGCACCCATTTATATGCATTATTTCTTGTGCCAGCATTGTCCTTTGTTCTGAGTAGCTTTCCTTCCATGGGAATTCTCATTTGATTTTACTCAGTGAATCCAAGAGACTGTCCTCACTGCAGCCAAAGACTACTTTTGTGGGAATAATGGCTGCCAGCATTTGAATATTCATTTCTTTTAGATGAACTGGAGACACTCCTGCGCTGAGCTGTGGAAGGCACTGCTCAAGGCCTGTGCTGTCACGCTGCAGACCTTTGAAGCTACCTCTCTTCTTTTGGCTAGAAGGACAAGTTATTTCCTCTGTTCTGAAAACTTGTTCCTTGAAGTTGGTGCTTGGAGGTTTTTTTTCCTAGTTTCAGGCTCAAGTATATATTAAATAAGAAAATTAATTTTAAGAATAGTAGCTAGCTGTCTTGGCTAGGAGCCTGGAATTTGTCTTTGTGAATGACATGACCAGAACCAGACATGGCATCATAGCTGCTGATGTGTTTCTGATTGAGCTAATGGCATTATAATAATTTCCATATTATGTTCCATCCTGTTCTTGATGCTAACAGCTTGCTTGCTTTTTTTTCCAAACTCCAGCTGTATGTTGTCTTCAGCGAACCGTTCACAGTTTTTCTCCTGTCTCTTTCAAAATCAGTGCTAGTTTGGCCTTATGTGGGTATATGAGTAGTTACTTGTGTATATATCATTTCTGTCATTGTGTTGACTACTCACCTAATAAATGCCTCATGCTGCTAGGGGTGTACAGATAATCTGCATGTTTGGTCTTCTGCACTATGTACTAATGTATTGTATGCTGGAATTAATGGGAAACCTCTAGGCCTCTTATCTAACATTTTGCTGCAAGAAAATAATTTACTTCTGATATTTGTGTTTTCTTTTTTTACTTCTGTATATAAGATATTTCACATGCCTAAAACATTACCCAGCTTTCTGTCTGAACATATGGGATACTGAGAATGCTTAGCCTATTCAGAGATGCAGGAGTGCAAGTAACAATTTTCTAATTTGTAGTGAGACAACAAAAAGGTTGGCTGTCATCAGCCAGCCATCAGTGAAGAGAGAGAATGCCTCAAGTCAGCATTTAAAAAAAATAATAATCACAAACCCAACAAAACAACAAACCAAACATGCTTTTGGATATTATCTCACCTATTTCTAATTTCCTTAATAGAACTAGAATAGGGTGGGAAAGGAGCAATCTTAATCACTTAAGAGAAGCTTAAGTAATAATAGCTTCCAATATCTAATGCATTTTAAACACAAGATACAAGTAAAAATCTAGCGTTTAAGTGAAGGGTTCTTCAGTATTGCTGAGAATGCAAAATATATGATTATGTAGTTGGGGTGCATGCGATTCAAGGAGCTCCCAGCACTAAGAGAAGGTTTGCTCTTTTAAGCTAAAAGAAGCTGTGGTGGACCAACTTTGTAGAGAGGTTCACAGATGAGACCTACAGAGACACAATAGGGTACTCCCATTTTAACTGTGGCAACCTCTGTGCTGCTGCTGAGGATATGCATTTCAGAAAAAGAGAGTAATCTGCTGGGAAGCATGGGCCTAATCTTTTGGACAAGACCCACGTTCGAGGCGATGTCACTGTATCTTTCTGCACTGAGGAGGTTCCTGCAGCAAAGGTGATCCCTAAGGATAAAGGGAAGCTGATTGTGATAGTGGGAGAATCTGTTAGTAAATGCAGTTAAGTGGATTTCTGATGTAGGATGTTCTTGAGGCTAACTTCAGGTTGCCAAGTGGGGCACTGAAATACAAGATTTCTGCGATAACAGTCTCTGTAATACCTGCCAGCTCCATGTGTGGGAATTGATAGACAAGAGGACAAGAGATTAGCAGTCCCCATGCGTGGATGACAGTGGCGTAAAAAAAAAAAAAGGGATTAAGTGTAGTGGGAGCTGATCAACCTGTTGGCATTGAACATATCTGCTGATGAGTGCTTGAGGAGTGCTGCACCTCAGTCAAGACAGAATCATGCTGTAGGCACTAAAAATTGAAAAGAATGTAGAAGACTGGAGACAAATCCAAAATAACATGTCTTCTTGGAGTTCAGACTGGTCTTCCAGGAAGCAATTTTTTTATTACGTTTAAACTACACTCTTTGTTGCATATCCTAATGAGGCAGTGGCCCAGTCCATGTGGACAACTGAAATTTTCACTCTCATGTCTTGTCCTAACTTTGCAGCTTCCCTAACCCTATTGAGTGTTTCCTGATTGTAGTCACTGTCCTGGTCTGAGAGTTGGTAGCACAGTCCTAGAACTGCATTTTTTGCTATTAAAAGATGAGATTCTTGCCCAAAGAGATTTCCATGGTGCTTTTTTTCTGTAATATTTTTATCCTAGTAAACTTAATGTACAGAGCCACTTCTGTGCCCATGTATCCATCATTCCTGAAAAGTAGATACTGATAACACTATCCCGTAGGTTATCCTCCTTTGGGTAGGTGGGTGGGATGCCTCTTGCAGAGGGTGGTTGTTTGATACCAGGTAATTCTGGTTTTTTGTTCCAGGCTTCCAGAATCAATGTGGAAGCACTTACAAGTTCTGCTTTGCTCTGTTGCTTGGTACTGCACATGGCAAGTAACTGGCGCTGTAGGCAGACTCATTTCTTCTTCCTGTGTCTTGCTATTTTATTTGCCTGTTGGCTTTTTGAGCCCTTTTTTGCTCCCTGCGTTTCTCAGGCTCCAGAGGCTTCTTTACTTTGATAGGAATACTTAAATCTATGAAGCTAAAAGCCTGTTATGTATGAAGGATACCAGAGATGGAGATTTTGGGACAGCACAATGAGTGTAACTTCTGACTTTTTCCATTGAAATCGAGGGAAATTTGTGCAGTGAGGTCCCTATATTGTTTTGAAAATGCTATCTTTTTGTCAGTCATTTATCATTTTATATCTTGTTCATGATCTCTCTAGGACTGAACAGGCAGTGGAATGCTATATAAGAATAGTGAAAATAGCGAAACCTGAAATATTGATTGAAAAGAAGGTTTAGTACTCTTCAATAGTTACTTTGCAAATAATTCTTTCTAGTTTGTTTTACAGTACAGATTCTGTTTCCTAGAACCATTATACATTTAAATGTTCTGTGTACATCTAGATTTAAACTTGGATAGAGATGCTTATAAATATTAAATTAGAGTTATTGGGAAAATGAAAAGAATATTTTATTAATCTGTAATGTCTATTGATTTTTAAATAAGTAGACATAATGTCTATTGATTTTATTTTTTTAAGCAAGTTGTAGATTGCAATTTAAGAAGACTAGGCATAAATGCTAGCTAGCTTCTTACAGCTTCAGGTGGGGTAAGGAGTATGATTTGAGTTGCTTTACCTCCAGCTGAAAAATACTCCCCCAACACCATTTTAACAAAGCAAGGCACTTTCCTAGGGGCTTATCTCCTAGAAAGACAGTGGATTTACTACGTCTGAATAACTGCTTTTTTTCTCTGAATATATGTAGGCTTTTTGCCAAGCCTCTGATAGTTCTTGTCTCTGTGAGCAATCTCAGTATTTTTGTTAGGTAAGAGAAATAGATAAGAACATAAATAAGATCAGTCAAGATGATGTTTTAATTTATTTCAGAGATAAATACTTCTATAAAAATAAATCATAGGCAGAAAAAAAATCATAGTCTAATTAATTATTTAAGAAGATAGTGTGGAATTAATAACAGTGGAAAAAAACCCCAAGTGTGTTACCTGTGTCTTTTTTTCATCATGTAAGTGAGACAAGCTTAAAATATCACTTAACATATATGTAAATCTGCAGTAACCCCAGAAGCTGCACTGGGATTACTTTATATTTATGTATGTTATTTAAGTCCCCCTGTAGCTAGTCATCAGTAGTTTCTGGACTAGATACTAGTTTTGCTTTCCCATGTTAAAATTCTGAATTCAACATGTACAAAGCCTGTATTAGAAATAAACCCTTAAATCCCCAAAGTTTCTGTCTGAAGGTGTATCTTTCTGCTTAAGTAAACTGAAATGCTTAAAATGAGGTGGTGAATTTGGTGTAATGTTTTAGCCCCCAGAATGGGATTTAAATCGGAATCACTGTCCTTTTACTCTGTGAGAAATGAAAAAGTGTAAATATGTTAAAAGAGCTTTGAACCTGTTTGTGGCAGTTAGAGTATCTTGGAACTAGTTTATCACTTTCTAAAGAGTATTATTGAAAGGGAAAATATCAGTTATGACAATTTAAATTTAGAGGGGAATGGATGAACTTTAATTCAGTTTTTCTGTATGCAATGAATGATTTTACAGGATCCCTTTAATTCTTTGAATAATCCTTGGTTCTGGCTGCTGAAGCTGCACTTCTCTTATGAGAATTTTGTGAGCACCGGTACAGCTTGTGGTAGGAATGGTTGAGAGAAAACAAAGTCTAAATATGGATTAATGAGTTGAACATCTAAAGCAAATAAATCAAGGATTTTCTTGA